GCGGATTACAGAGATTTATTATAAAAATTCGGATAAACGAGGTAAATTTCTTATTAATAAATCGGGACCAGAATATTAACGAGGTTGACTATTACTATATATATACTGAAAATAGAATAATTAATAAGCGTTGCTAAATTAGAACAGTCAGTCCTTTCGAAAAATATGAAAGCAGCGTAATTTCCGTAGTTTCAGTGTATGCGTGTTCTGGTTCCTTATTGTAAACATTTCAGAATTCTTTATACCCTGGTAAATTATCGGTGAGTAATGAAAAATCCTATATCGATCGCTTCTTGTCCCGCGATTATTCCCGTGCCAACTATGATACAGTGAACCTTGTTTATACCGGACGGGTTTGCATAGCTCTCTGTCCGGTATATTGTAAGTTTATAAGAGACGCTGGTATAAGCAAAAACGAACGATGCGCAAGAATCAGCCCAGCCGGTATAGAGAAATTCCGGTATATTAATATACATTACCGGTATAACAGTGTTGACTGTAATTAGTTGTTTACATCGATGCGCATTCTTATTGTTATAATTGAAGCACATTGTACCCAACCGTAGACTACCAAGTTAATATTAATCCCACGATAAGGAACCGTGATTGTACTCGAGGACAATTAATTGTCCAGGATTAGTGTCACTCATCGACACAGTAAGTCGTAAGTGTAAAAGCCTGGTGTTAAAAAGTCATTAACAGTAACCCGAGATTTAACAATTGGGGGGAGAAGCCACGCTCCGTTCATCCCTAGTGCTGCTCTCCCGCAATAATTGGCACGACACCTGACATTTATGTAAGGAAACGGAAAAAACTGAATGCACATGATTTATGTCGTTATTTTATACTTCGGATACAGCTGCTATCGTTAAGAGGAAAATAAAAATTGGTCCTGGTATACCATAATATAGATATATTGAGAAGGTGAATCTGATGTATACTATAAGAAACGCATTACACGTTAAAACTGACTCGTTCACATAGTGTGACAAGAACTTTTATGAGTAATTTATTTATTTAAATATGTATCAATAATAATACAATCTCTTTAATGCAAAATAAATATTAATCGTATGCTCAGACAAACTGCGTTCTCTATTGCTTTAATAAATGTTATCAGGAGCTAACAGGAAGTAACTACATATAACATTATACACAGAAATATAACTACATTATCGTTACCATACCTAGTTACCCTTTTCAGGACGTCTAAACATCGGGGACCTGTCCCATTTCAACACCAGGGACCTGTCCCTCTTCGTCGTCACGTGTAAATCGGCCTCTCATAAATTGCCATAGCACACCAGTCAAAATCAGAACTCCGAGGCTAGTACCATAAACGGCATAAGTATTGACAGGTTTAGATGATGAGCATGTTGTTGAAGTTGTTAAAGGAGTTGTTGAATTTGTTGGAGGTGCGTGTTCGCTCTTTGGTGGCACCCACGAGAGGACGACAATTGCCAACGCGAACAAAATAAAAAGAATGATGACAGCTAAAGGTGCCCTATATGTACGTTTATCTTGCTC